TTCATAAAACCCAAAGAGTTTGGGGACCTGGATTCTGAAGTTGTTTCTTAAACTTATTATAACAGCTGCTTCTGTCCTCGTGGTGGAACTCATTTGAGCCTATGTGCACTAGAAGGGTGGAAGTAGGGGAGTTGAGACAGCTTTAATAAAATAAATCAGTTTTTAATCTGTTTTTTCCTGGGTTAGACTTGATTCATTGACTGCAATCAGGAGGTGCTGCAAGAATTAGTTTTTCATCCTGTTTGCTCAGGAATGGTGCACGTTATTGAAGAATATTTATTCAATAATTGCAGTTTATGGTCAGCTACATCAATGGGGTTAACATGAGTTAAGACACTTATTGACATTTATAGTGGTTTCAATCTATTGAAGACTGACAGATCTAGTGACCCTAAAACTGGCATACACTTACTTTGCTATTTCTGCTCAACTGGTGTATTTGTGCTGGTAGTATAACAGTGACAGGTATAAGTTGCTGCACTGATTTTTAAAATGCTGTTTCCCTTCGAAAGGTGTGTTGTCATTGGATCATGTCACAGGCCAATATAGGGCTTTATGTAGAAAAATATAAAATTATTTTCATTATTATTAATTAAATATAGTAAGAATTTTCTCAGAAAAGAACGTACATGAAAGTACAAAATTGTTCATGGCATGTTTTATCTATAGGTGGTACTGTTGCCTGAAGAATAATAGTGCATTAGGGATGTTCTGAAACACATCTCTAGTAAACTTTCCAGAGTGGCTTGCAGTGTCACTGCGATGATGAAATAGGTCTAAAATCCTCAGACTTGGAAGGATTTTAATAATTTACTTTAAATTTTTTTTTTAATATTAAAATGATGATATTAAACAAAAGAAATGTGGTTTATCTTGATTTCAGTAAAGCATTTGACACCGTCTCCCACAGCATCCTTGTAGATAAGTTGATCAGGTATGGGTTTGGTGATCAGGAAGTGAGGTGGATTAGGAACTGGTTGAAAGGAAGGAGTCAGAGAGTTGTAGTCAATGGGGAAGAATCTGGTTGGAGGTGTGTGACTAGTGGAGTCCCACAGGGGTCGGTACTGGGACCGATGTTGTTCAACATCTTCATCAACGACCTGGATGAGGGTATAGAATGTACCCTCAGCAAGTTTGCTGATGACACTAAGCTGGGAGGAGTGGCTGACACACCAGAAGGCTGTGCTGCCATTCAGAGAGACTTAGATAGGTTGGAGAGTTGGGCGGGGAGAAACATGATGAAATTCAACAAGGGGAAGTGCAGAGTTTTACATTTGGGGAAGAACAACACCATGTCCCAGTACAGGTTGGGGGCTGAACTGCTGGAGAGTAGTGTAGGTGAAAGAGACCTGGGGGTCCTGGTAGACAGGAGGATGACCATGAGCCAGCAATGTGCCCTTGTGGCCAAGAAGGCCAATGGCATCCTGGGATGCATTAGAAAGGGTGTGATTAGTAGGTCAAGAGAGGTTCTCCTCCCCCTCTATTCTGCATTGGTGAGGCCACATCTGGAGTATTGTGTCCAGTTCTGGGCCCCTCAGTTCAAGAAGGACAGGGAACTGCTTGAAAGAGTCCAGCGCAGAGCTACAAAGATGATGAAGGGAGTGGAACATCTCCCTTATGAGGAAAGGCTGAGGGAGCTGGGTCTCTTTAGCTTGGAGAAAAGGAGACTGAGGGGTGACCTCATCAATGTTTACAAATATGTAAGGGGTGAGTGTCAGGGGGACGGAGTTAGGCTTTTCTCAGTGATAGGACAAGGGGTAATGGGTGTAAATTGGAGCATAGGAGGTTCAAGATGAATATCCGAAAAAATTTTTTTACTGTGAGAGTGACAGAGCACTGGAACAGGCTGCCCAGGGAGGTTGTGGAGTCTCCCTCACTGGAGACATTCAAAACCCACCTGGATGAGTTCCTGTGTGATGTACTCTAGGTGACCCTGCTCTGGCAGGGGGGTTGGACTAGATGATCTTTCGAGGTCCCTTCCAGCCCCTAAGATTCTATGATTCTATGATTCTATGAAACTTAGCGGGAGGAACAAGGGGGTGGTAGAGATATGTAAATAGGTAGGGAGAACAAACAACACATGATTTGAGATACCTTGTTGCTAATTGTCTTTTTATTTAGCAATAATATCAAAAAATGGGACTTTTTTCCCCTCTTATGAGCCTCTGGGCTGAAATGTGATCCTATTTTAATAATATAGTTCTACAGTATGTTGACTGCTAACTGGGCTGTACCAGGTCTGATCAAAAACCTGTCTAGCTCACTATGTTTTCCTCCAGCTAGAAAATAAATAACAGTGGTCATCAGTGGTTGCTTACATGGTTATTTTCATATTTGCTGAGAGCTGTGTGAACAGTGAGTAACTTCCCCAGATTGATCTGCTAGCATTCAGAAGTTAAGGCACAGGGACTTCCTTGTCTGGAGATGGTATCCATGTATAAGAGTCATAGTGACTTACATAACTAGTAATGAGAATTAACTTATGGTCTTTGTTACTGGATTACATGCATATTGCTAACAGAAATGTGAAATTTGCATTTCTGCTTTTAGAGAATGTCATTTTAGTGCCATAGATGACAAAACTTAACAAATGCTTGTGAAATAATGGCTATGGAGATTACTTTTGTGCTCAGCTTTGATGGCAGTGTTTTGTTTTTTCTTTTTGTTTCTTCCATTGTAGTTGTTCTTGCGCTTCCTTCACTTTTGCTTCAGAGGGAACTCCGTGTCTAAATGGGTTTGTTACGTTGGCAAAGAAGAACAGACAGCCTCTGGTGGTATGTGTGTTTGAGTCCTGTTTTATCTACTCGGCTTCTTGCAAGTTGAAGGAATCTTTGAGAAAGCTATGAAAAGAAATTATATGTCATTTTAATGACCTTTTTACCTTTTATTGCCAACATACAGGATCTTTGATAATTTTAAGAATTTCAGAAATTTCTTTCTAATCTTGTTGGAGTGAAATATTGCAAGTATGGGGGAGAAGCTTTTATAATAATTGTTTTAATATCTTTCTATATGTAGTCTGTCAGCCTTTTGGTATAGCAGGCGTAGGAGTTGCTCCAGTGTTAATTTGCAGAGTAATACTTGTGTGGTAGCAGGTATGGTAATACTTAAAATCCTCAGGTAATTTAATAAGAATAAAAACTTTCTTGGATTTGGCTTGAAAGAATAATTGCTCCCTATGACTTTCCTCAAGGCAGCAAAACACATGGGTGTGGAGAGAAGCAGCTTTTCATAGGAGATGTAAATCTTGGAGGAAACCAATGAACATAGGAAAAGACAGTGCAAATTTAATGCTTTTGTTATATTGGAAACATTTGGGGGAAGAATCTCTTTTGGTCCTTTTTTAGAATGAAAGTATCTAATCTTGCAAGCTTTTTCTAAGTACTGCATGTTGAAAAGCAGTAGTATGTTAGTGCTTTTAGTTTCAAATATTAAAGCACTTCTGTCTCTTTGGTTTAGCGAACATTAAAACTTGGAGGAGAACTGAGCTTGGACAGGGTACAAGATCACATATGGGATTTTTCTTTTCCCTTTCAGAGCATTTTTGAGCCCCCGCACACTGGAAAGCCTAGTCAGAAAGGCAGAGACAAGAATATTTTTGTGGCCTTGGATGTAAATGCCACGTTTTAAAGAAATTACATCGTGAACATTGCTTTCCACTTCAGTATGTCTAAGGACTATTAATGGGAGCAACTTCAGGCCTCGAAATACTTTGCAGTCTGTTAATGCTCAAAATATGAGATAACTTCATTAGGACACAAGATAAAGGAAATTGCTTCTTGGCTAGTTTAACTGAGGAGATTCTGGCATTATTTGAAGCACAGTTACTGATTTGTGTCATGCGTGCCCATGAGATCCTGAGAGCAGTTTTTTGCCATGTAAGGCCTTGTATGGATGACCACTGAGGCAAAGACCTCACCTTTCTCAAGGAAGTAAAATAAGAGATTATTTTCACAGCTGCTTGCTTTTCCAGCATTTTCCTGTTTGTGTGGTCAGAGTGTTGTGGGAAGGGGTGAGGACACAATGGGAGTTGTGGCAGTATCCCTGGTTGCACATTTGAGCACTTGCAGATTTTGCTGGAAGAGCAGATGTTTGCTGGAAGAGGAGTTGGTTGCCATGGGCCTTGTACCTTTGTGCTGTGAGCACTGAGGAAACAACCAATTCTGGGTTTTTTTCCTCCATTTAAAGGGGAGCTGACTTGATAATTCAAACAGTTGTTGGTTTTTGTTTGGGCACGCATTTGTACAGAGATACACACAAGTTGCTCTTACTACATGTGAGCATGCTGTATATGAAAAATTTGTCCTGCCTTCCAGCTGCGTGCTTTTAAAGTGTGTGTAAACTTCCTGCAGCACGGCAGGCTCTTAGCGCAGTGACACAGGGCTCTGTGGTGTCTTTATTTTAACCTGTCCTTGGCAGTTGATTTAGGTTTAATTGTTAGAAATAGTCAAGTATTTTAGTTTTAATGCTATGGCGTAGTGCTGATTGTTTAATTTTGGAGGAAAAGTTCTTATTTCTTTTGATGAGGCAG